CTCACCTGTGTTTCGATCCCGAGTGGTCCCATCAACCTCCCCCAGACCCCCTGACCAAAACCCGACTTGTAGGTTCCTTCGTGTCGCCTCCCTGGCCTTACCCCTAGAGCCCGCCATGCCGGGCCCCCGTTCCGTCTTCGGCTCTCCCCTGAGCCAACGCCTGCCGGCCCCCGTCCGTCTTCGTAGCTCTTCCCCCTGAGCCACGCCCTGCTAGGCCCCCGTTCCCATACTCTGAGTACCTCCCCGCTCCGGTGTCGCCCGCTTGAGTCCCCAGGCTCGCTCTCCCCGCTTCCGTCGACCGTCCTCTCCAGTACCCCGCCGGCCTGGCTCCGCTCCTGACGCCGGCCCTTTCAGTCCCCGGCCCGAGCCTCCCGCTTCTCGCTCCGAGAGTCCCCTGGCTCGTACTCCCACTCTGGCGCCGAGAGTCCCTCATCCCGAGCTCCCGCTTCTGGTCTGTCGAGGGCTCCGGCCCGTCCTTCCCGACTGCCCTGTCGAGCCTCCGGGGCCCGTCCTGGCCACCAGCGGCCTGTCTTGGCCTCGGCCACCCTGTGCCGAAGCCTGTCCTAGGGGTGCTTCCTCCTGGGTCTTCAACCGTCCTGGGAGCCGCTCTGTCCACTGCCGTCCTGGGAGGTGCCTTGGTTCTGTACCCTAACCGTCCTGAGAGTCGGCCCAGGAGGTTGCCTTTGTCCTGTATCCAACCGTCCTTGGGGGCCGTCTTCTCATCAGCCGGCCCTGGGGGCTTGCCCTTTCCTGTACCTCGACCGTCCGTTGGGGTCGTCCTTGAGTTGCCGTGTCCTGTATCCAACCGTCTGGGGGCCGTCTTCGAGCAGCCGCCCTTGGGTTTCCTGTCCTTGTCCCAACCGTCCTGGGGCCGTCACTCTCATCAGCCGCCCTTGGAGGTGCCGTGTCCGTGTATCTCAACCCGTCTGGGGCCGTCTTTCTCATAACCGCCTTGGGTTGCCCTGTCCTGTATCTCAACCGTCCTGGGGGTCGCCTTGGAGGTCGCCGTGAACTGATCCTAAACCGTCCTGGGGGCCGTCCCTCCTCATCGCCGCCCTGGGGGTTCCCGTGTCCTGTGTCCCAACCGGTCCTGGGGGTGGCGTCTCCATCAGCCGCCCTGGAGGTGGTTGCCTGTTACCTGTACCTCAACCGTCCTGCGGGTCGCCTGTGTGTGCCTGGTCTTGTAACCCATCCCTGAATTCTCCCCTGAGCTCTCGACTGAACTTTCCCCTGAACTCTCCCTTGAGCTCTCCTTCTGAACTCTCTCACTGAACTCTCCCCTGGGCTCTTCTCTGAGGCTCTTCTCCTGGGCTCTTCTCTGAGCTCTCCCTGGGCTCTCCCCTGGGTGAACTCTCCCCTGAACTCTCCTTAGAGCTCTCATCTGAGCTCTCCACTGAGTTCTCCACTGAGATCTCCCTTGAGCTCTCCGACGTGAGCTCTTCCCTTGAGCTCTCCCCTGGAGCTCTCCCCTGAGCTCTCCCTTAGCTCTCCCCTAAGCTCTCTTAGGAGCTCTCCTCTGAGCTCTCAACTGAACATTCCTCTGAGCTCTCCCCTGAGCTCTCCCCTGAGCTCTTCCTTAGTCTCGTCTGAACTCTCCAACTGACCTCTCCCCTTGACCTCTCCCCTGACCTCTCCTTGGCTCCTCAACTGTAACATTTCGCTCTGAACTCTCCTGAAGCTCTGCCAGCCAAGCGGGCTGTCTTGTCGCAACCCTAGCAGGCTTACGGCTTCCTGTGGCCCCGACCTCAGCGGCCATGCCGGCTGTTCCTGTGCGCCCTCGCGGCCGCAGCCGGCTCTCCCGGTTTGTTCCTCTCGCTCCCGACCTCAGCCGCCAATGCGGGCTGGTCCGTCGCCCCTTCGACCGCAGCCGGCCTTCTTCGGGTTCATGACCTCGGGCTTTGGTACCGGACGACCCCGGCCAAGACCTCGGTCTTGGGTACCGACAACCCGTTGGCCTGTACTTCGGACCTGCGGGACCGACACATTCGGTCCATTACCTCGGTGCCTTTGCCGTCACCCGACACACCCGGCTATTGACACCGTGCCTAGGTACGAAACACCCGGCAAAGACCTCGGCCTTTGCGTACGCGACGACCCCGGACAGACCTGGCGTTTCGTACCGAAGACCCAGAGGCACGCGATTGGACCTGGACGCTGAGGAAGAGAATCCTCCGGAAAACCTCCGACGGGCACCTGGGAGGGTTTTTCGGTCTCGCTCATACCGAGGACCTGTCTCCTCGTCCTTTACCCTTCTTCGGTCCCCACCTGAGGTCTGCCTTGTGTGCGCTCTTGGCAATTAACGGCAGCCCAACTCCTAACCCTCCGTCCCCCCGATCGTAGCGGACCCCGGATCGCCTTCCGCGCCCTTAGTGTACAACTTTTCACTTTCAGGGTTTAGGGTCAGTCCATTCTTGAGTTGTTTCTGTACCAGAAGAGGACCGACGGTTAGGCCACGCGCGAGATGGTCTGGCGGGAGAAAGGACGGCTTGTGACCTGCGTAGGGAAGTTGTGGTTAGTTTCGTCCCGTTTCGCGTCTATTTTCGCATTTTAGCGACATTAAGATGGAGTTTTACCTAGTAGACGACCCCAGGTAAACACCAACCAAGTAAGACAATGTCCAACTCACTCTCGTCCGTCCTGGCGTTTACGTCTCATTTTGACTTTTTTGATGGAAATAAAGTTCCAGATCTCCGTCGTTGTCTCTTCGTGATTGTTGCTCTTGTGTCCAGTTACGTCTGCTTGTCTACTGTCTGCGTCTTTTTGGTCTGCAATTTATGTGTGTTCGTTGATTTATTGTGTTTGGTCTGCGCGTCCACTTCGCCCCTCCTCTTTTGGTCGTCCCGTGGTTCCATCGTTGTCGGTTAGCCCCATGGAATCCACCTCCCTTTTGTGGGTCTGTCTCGTCGGTTGTCCGTTCTGTCCTCACTTCTGGCGGAGTTCTTATTTTCGTACTTTGCGTTTCTGCTTTTTTTGTCACCTGTTCTGTTCCGGCCCGTGTGTCTTTGTGTCGGTCTAGGCACTAGAGGAGAGGGTGTTGGTAGAAACAGAAAGAAGGGTGATGAAGATGAGAAACAGCGTTGTGAAACGATATACCGGATGTTGAGCGAGACTAACACACACACGTCCGACACAAAACTTAACATCGACTCCGTCTACCTCCGCACCCTGCAGTAAGACCTCAAAACACTAACTCTGGACAGCGCGAGGACACAGCGGGAAGGGACAACACCCGCGGTGCGTGGATTTTGTCTTGGTGAGGCAGATGTAGGGAGGTGGGTTCTCTGGAGTGTTGGAGAGCTGAAACCGTCGTTGTGTGACGAAATAAACATACACTTTGTTGTGTTGTTGGAAACTGGTATGGTGTCGCTGTGTGGACAAGTACGTAGCGTAAATATGTCACTGGGTTTGTGTGTGTCGAGTGGTCGGTGTAGATAATTTCAAGTACCTCAGTAAAGCGCATTTCATAAGACAATTGTGCCAATTTCCTGTAGTAAAGCCGGACTATCACCGGAAGTATAACACACAGTTATGGCGTAGTGTGTGTTGTGCGAAATACAAAAGGTATGCGGTTCGTATTAATAGCCCGGTATTCACAACTCAACCCGTTAATTTGTCGGTGAAACATTCCCCAATTTCATTGGTCGGATGTTGTAGTACGACTTACATACAAATGTATTATAGAACATTCATATGCAGAAAGTAGTAATGTTACTGTAGGAAAGTATAAACTGAAACAGGGAAATAAGTAAGGGTCAGAGACAAATAAAAGAAGTGCAGCAAGATTAACGAAGTAATAAACAATACACTAGAGCTAAAGGACGTCAATGGTAACAAATGAGAAAAGTAGGTAAAAGAAGAACAACAAAAAAATTGTTATTTCAATTGAAGAAATAAAAAATTCCGACAATACAACATTTACTTGCCCCCTCCACCCACCCTGGTGGCCCTAGTTTTGTGCCTGCCTGCTTCACTCAACCGTAACATTATGCAGAGTGAAGGAAGGAAGGAAGCACAGAGTGATGAACAACTAGAACAGATTGGATCAGATGAGTAGACCTGGCAATTGATGAGGAACAATTAAAATGGTATTCGATTAAATGGAAGAAATGAGAAAGGATTAGACTTGTTTTGATAAAGTGAGACAGGAACACTGAAACGATCATTAGGTGGGGATAAGAAATGTAAAATGAGGGGAGAGATTAAGAATGACTGATGTGTACTAATATGAAGGATAGGCCAAGGTTAATTAGATGGTAGTTCGAGGAAGCAACTAGTATCACTTGCGTCTTTTTGACATTGTTTTTAATGTGGCTCCCTCGAGAAAAAGCGCTGCACCTAAGCATATTTTTTTCTGAGTGCATCAATGATTTTAAGCAGCCGCTCGGAGCGTTTGTAGTTAAAGATATTCCTTTTTCAGAAAACCACTGGTGACGTTTAAGTACGAATTTGAGGAGAAACCTGTTTTTGGCCATTTTTTACAGACGGAAACTCTCATAGCAAAGACTGAAAGGGGCCACCATAAAGCCGGTTAGATCTGTGGCCCATACACTGTATGTGGAAGCAGTTGTCGCTGCCAAGTGCATGGGTTTGACTCCCACCAGCTGAATTATTAAGCAATGTCTTCCACTCTGTCTTCCACTTTCAACAACGCTGGAACTAAGATATATTGGACCAAAACAAAGACCAACAATCCTATTTCTTTTAAAGATTGGCCAGAGGATCCCTGGATGTTGCTGCCAATGATTGTTGCTGTCAGAGAGTTGACAAGCTGGTTCATAAAAATAATGTTTCAATCGGTAACAATATATAGTAGCACTAACAGAAAGTAAAATCCAAGAAGGTGATGCTAGTTGTGCTAGCAGGGAAACACTGTTTAGATATTATTGACATAGAAACAATATAAAAAGGGCTCTGGAGACTCTGCCCAGTGCCTCTTATCCAAAGAAACGCGCTATGGTGACACAGGCCCATGTCATTTCACTGTGCGTGTTGCCATACTTACTTCCACTTTCTTCCCAGGCAAGATGGTACCACTCGGGGTGAGGCAGCAGAACGGACTGCCACCTTTGTCTTCACACCGCCACTTGAATGAGTAGGGCTTACTGGTTGGGTTCATCACACCAAAACATCTGGTAGAGAGAGGGACACATGTATAAACAAAGTGTTAAAGAGGACATATCAGTATTTAGTTCCTCTACTGTGACATGTCTCCATGCTCTAATTTTCAAAAAGCTCTTTATTTTTCTCATACTGCCTGTGCTGCAGCACCTCTTTTCACCCTCTGTCTGAAACCAGAGCCCAGTCTGCTCTGATTGGTTAGCTGGTCGACTCTGTTGTGATTGGTGAACCGCTTACAGATGCCCGCCCCCCCCCCATTAGCCTATCACGTACAATGTGTTGGAGCGCTAGCTTATAGAAGCTCAAGTGTTACATACACTTCTGTCCAATGGAGGTGTTTCCGGCAGGGGGGG